TTACATTATTTCATGAACATTATTTCACTTGTTTAAACGAATTCCGCTGGCTCAAGGTGAATTCTAGCGGCCGGCTGCTCTGATCGCTAGTTTTCCGTGGTGTCTCCGATAAATTCCGGTCGAATGCCGGAGCAGGACCCCAATAAACGGGCCACTGACTTAGCGAGATCTTTCCTTCCTCTTCTTTGTCATATCCTCGCCCCTTACTTACACTTACATGCACTACACTAGCCCACATGTCGTGAGACCGGTCGAGGGCTTAGAGCTTGTTCCGGCTGAGGCGGTTCGCCGCTGGTGGGAGATACCTGGTTGGGGAGAAACCCCGCAAGCCGACGTAGGTGGGCGCCGGATCTCGCCATCCAGCGGGGGAAGAACACCGCCACCAACCGCGACAAAATATGCACTACACTTACGGGACTAAAGAAGTTAGCACTCTACGCTCCCGTAATTGCTAAATCACAGAGCGCGGCTGAGGGTAGCGGACCCCTCTGCTAATTGTGAATATGCTGCTGCTGTTGTTGTTGTTTACTGTTGCCACTTACTGGAAATCATAGAAAATCGGGGAAAACAGGGATTTTAATTTCAATAGAAAATTCAGGGAGTTTGTGGAAGAATCGTTAGATGTTCGGGAAAATTTTCTGATACAAATAAAACTAATTTATTCCCAAAAAATAGTGCATCATTATTTTGCGCTCAATTTCAATTTGTTGAGATTTTTGAAAATTTGTACTTTATGACAGAGAGAAATCAGAGAACTGACAATTATTTTCAGGCTTGTTATAATATTTTCTTAAAATAGTGTAAAAATGCTCCACAAATCTTATCTGAGAAAAGAATTGTGCTTTGGAAAACCGGGAAAAGTCAGGAAAATTTGTTTCAGAAAATGAGTGTCCACCGTGAAAATTCTCCAGGATTTTCACAAAACCAGAGGCGCTCACGACAATTTTGGAACTTTTGCCTAAAGTTCGTCTAGAATATTTTATTCGACTGCATGACAAAGAAGTCACGCCTTACTTGCACAGCTGCGAAAAAAACAAGAATAATTAATTCGATAACCAATGTCTTCTTCAAGAATGTTTTCAACTAAAACTTCATTCATACAGCACAACGCAACAACGACGTGCACTTCCAAACTCTCACAAGTGCTATATATTAACAAATCTTCCACCAGAGCAACCAATTTATCTCCCAATGAAGTTTTATAAATGTAGCTCTCTTATGCATTATTCTTACATTATTTCATGAACGTTATTTCATTTGTTAAAAATATGGTTGGGGCGTTATATTGTGTAATACCTGTGCGCTGCATCTTGTCTATTGCCACCCCCGACATTCCGTCGGGGTATATTTGATTCTCACCAATGAATGGCCATTTACCTTGTTGTGTTGTGTCATGCTTGACACTTCCATCCACCACAGTCTATTTCCAATAATATTATTTCATGCCTAGTCCATCTCTGGAGTGCAGGAGCATGAGTGTGAAACACGTTCGAGTTGCTTTCGGACGGTTCCGTTCTTATTTTCCATTGTGACGTGGCCTGGTGAGACAGAACCGATCTCCGCGCATCCCTGAGAGACATGGATCTTTTCCCTGCGGGCACGTTTTCACTAAGGGATGTCGGCTGGTTTGGGTGAGACGGCTACTTCGGCGACTCCTCTCGATCTTGGAATGAAATTAGAAGATGGGCTTATGTGACACTTCCGAGAGTCGATGGGAGGTGTGTCGTAATACGTTACTGAGTAGAGTGGACGATCTAAAACAAGGAAGGGAACGGGCTGGCTCTGGAACTCCTGTACCAGGGAACTTTCCAACATTTCGGTTAGATCGGTGCACCATAGACACCATGTTGCGGCGGCGGTGGTGTAACGGTTAGCGTACTGGACTGTTGTACCCAAGTTTGCGGGTTCAAACCCGATCGAAGCCGTGGAATTTTTTAAGGGCGAAAAAATCCTTCGTACGCCTGCCTTCGAGAGGGGAAGTAAAGCCGTCTGTCCCAGTTTCGATAGATTTACTTGCATGTAAAAGATCCTCTCAAGCCTAAATGACGCCTCTGAAGCTAAATTCAAATCGCCTGTTCTTCGCCCAAGAAATTACCCTTCTTTCTCTGCTATATGAAAGGAGCGTTAGCCGAAATTTGCTGTGGTCAGACGGAAGAAAGCGGGCCTGATGGCCGGAGTCTCGCAACACGCTAAAATAAGGATATTCAATTCAATTCAATTCATGTAGACTGAGAAGGGTTCAGATTCACAAAATATGTGTATGCACATATTTGTACATTACTAACATACGCTTTATTAATAAGCATTTTGAAACAATGTTGGTCGCCCCCGCAAACAACTGATTTTTGACTTCCATGTTCGTAATCAGGCATCGACACATCAACGATCTCAGTCATATTACCCGTTACTTATGTGCTTCCCGGACTGAGAGTTTGCGATCTGATGGGGGGGAAGGAATTGTTGAAAAATTTAATTCTGCGGGACATTTAGTCGCTGTTCTTTTACATAACTTGAGAATGACATTGAAAACTGATTATTTTCCGTTCTTTGAAAAATCCACCGCTCCCAGCCGAGTTTGATCCCTGAATTACCAGAGTTTGAAAGGACTTGCCTACCGCCGGACATGTTCTTTACAATAGGCGCATTATACAGTGTGTCAAAAAAGTGTCTCTACACCAAGTAGAATCAGGGCCTCTTTTTAAAAATTGCGTTTCTGTTGGTAACAGCCAGATCACTAGGAAAAAGTAAAGGGGACAACACTGTCAGTATCTGTTATGATTGTAAAAAATTCGTGATTTACGTTTTCGATCTACAGCTCATACTACCAACATAATTTCTGTTGCAAGCACTCCCACCAGGTGATACTATGGAGAAATGCTATATTATTTTATTGTGTACTGACACACCGTTTAACTTTGAGAAAGAAATTATAGTTGTTATAGTTTACTTTTCAACTCTCTTTAAAATCATTCTATAAAACTTATTTAGACTTCTTTAACACAAAAATATGTTTCAGAACTCGACCAGACCCTCTACTATTTAATTGGCACATCTATCATACGAGTGATAGCGTTGAATGGATTGGATTCAGAAACTTCTGATCGTCTAAAAAGAATGAGGCCGACTCCATCCTACTACGTAATTTTTGCCACTACGGAGAAAATGAAAGTTCTGTACGACAAGGTAATTCTTTCATTGTACTTTCTATTTCATTCGTTGCCGTTCAAGAAGCTTAATGTTTGTGTAAAAGAAGTGACATAAGAAAAAAGCCATTACCCATATTATTTCAGATACTTCTCGAAGAGGGAATTTAGAATAATTTATTATTATTACTATTATTATTATTATTATTCATTAGTAATTTCGGGAGGAAAACTGAGTGAAATATATCAATGGACCTATAAGATCAATGTCTCTCAAAAGTTAATGTGTCTATAGTATTTTAATTGAACAATTTGTATGCACTGATCGGCATGTTCTTCACACTATTAACTAAATAAATGACTAAAGAAATGTAAAAATAGTTTATATTTTTCTTTGACTAATTTTATGGATAGTTTACAGACAGATATCCCAAGTTGACATCAGTCTCACAGGAACATGTAGAACAAGCTTTATTCCAAAAGATCTTACAATAAGCTATTTTTAATTAATATCCATATTCTAAATTGGAGAACAGCATTGTTTATTATGTGAAGGGAGTATAAGAAATTAATAAAACGCTTTCCTAGTCACCTTGTTGACTTTATCAATAAATTAACATTACCGGTCTAAGAACTTGGAAAACGGAATTGAGTCGAATGTAAGGGAATGAAATTCAAGCAAAAGTTAGGGGATAGTTTTCAAATGAATAAAAAACTTGGTTTAAAATAGCTTTTTTGTTTACAGGCTTTAAAGGACAATTTAATTAACAGAGAAGAAAGATGGAATTTAGTTTTCACTGATTTTGAATACGAAAATTTTGATAAAACTTCTCTCCTTATGGCACCAAGTTTATTGACCATGCGACGATCGTTTTGCTGTAACATTCAACGAACATCTCCTGGATGTAGTTGCAGAGGAGTACAGGTATTGATTCAGAAAATAAAACATAAATATTCGTAAAGTTTCGTCTTAATTGTATTTGTAAAAATTGATGTGTAACTTGTGTAAACGTGTGTAACGGTTACAGATAATGAATTCTTACCTTCAACAAGTCACCGATGTGATTGTTGGCGCGATGCAAGAGATGAAAGAGTCGAAAATGGATATATCCCCGCAACCTCGACCTTTCGGATGCGTTGGAGGTGAAAAAGAAAAATCCAATCAAAACGCAGATTTCCTCAAAAATCTGGAAGGGGTAATTTTTGTACTATGCTCTGCACGTTTCTTCAAAAATTGTAACTGAATGTCAGAACGAATGCAAATTACCAATGAAGTATTTTTCCGAAAAGTTTCACATAATGCATTTTTGTGGTAAAAATACTAGTAGTATTCAGAAATTATTGGCTATCCAGGAGACGCCGCGCGTGACTCCCTCACTGCCCTGAGGAAGCCCTGCGACATGTCAGGCGAAACGTCGGCATCTCAGGCAACCACGCGGCGTCTCCCGGATAACCAAAAATTTATGGATTCGAGCCGCGGAAGCTTACGTCTATTCAGAAGTTTTTCAAATAATATCAAATAATAGTAATACATTCTTGCAGAAAACGAAAGAATTGAATATTGCAGTTGGCTTGCAAAATCAACCAAATAAAATTCCAACACTTTATATGTCCATGACTGTCGATATAGTCCAGTACAATAATTCGCAAGATAAACCCCTGGCAGAATGGACTAGGGAAAGTGGTTTGATATTGAAACCAAATGTAACCATAGCAGCGACTAGACGATTCTTCAGAGTTGGAACAGCAGAGGTAATTATTTCTTATATTTCATTAAAAAGTTTTGGTATTTTTAGAGAAATAGCTTTATGATAACATATGGATAGCAGTCTTGAGACACCAACATTGCAGAAAGTAATACTCAATAATATATTTTATCGTCAAAATTAAATAAACTTCATACGTTATATTTTAGAAAGCCTTAAAATATTCCGTAGAAATGAAATGTACCGTTTTCTCGATATATTTAAATAACTAGATGCGGCAAACATTGTGAGGAGACCTTACGAAAATATTAGTTACCCCTTCAACGAAATCAGAACGAGAGTAACTCCCCTGGATCGATAGAGACCTCGGGTAATGACCTGTAACTGCATAACGATGACCATTCAGGTGACTCTACTCACTTGAGTACTTAAACGAAAGTTTTCAAAACGTAGAAAACAGGTATGACAAAAGGGTTTCATTACAGTGGTGATTTAGTTTTACTAAAATAACCATTCAAACGTGGTAACGTTTCATTGCTGAAGGGATAGGTTTGCTTATATTTGAATATATATGTCAATACTTTTTAAGCTTCTTACACGTTACACAAAAAACAAGTCAATGCTACAGACTGTTGTTCTTTATAGGCCGTAATCATTTAAATTCTGACACTCTGATTGGCTGTTTTTTACGTATTAGGAAGAAAGGAAAACAGGACGCGATTTCTCCGATATATAGTGTCGGAGGCACTAATGCAGACAGGAGAGATATTTTTGATAGAGCTGGGAAGGAAATCAATGTTCAACTCTAGGTGTACGATTTAGAAAGAACAAAATTACGGGAAGCGGGTTTGATGTCCTGAGTCTGTCGCGGAGCTGTGTGTGTGCAGCACACTAAGAACATCTATTCTTTATGTAAATGTGCCAGTGAGTGACAAGCTATCGGGCAAAATTGTCACTAACGAAATCCATAGGCTTCTGTTTTGTTGTTGTTGTTGTTGTTTGTTTGTTTTTCGCGGTTCATCTGTCTGGTTTTTTGTAACCCGCAGGTAAGTGCACATAAAATTGTTGTAAGCGCGGCTCTCTATGGTTCAGGGAGCAAATCTCTTGTGCAGACGAAAAAAACAAGAGATACAGTGGGAGGGGAAGGGCAGTCAATCGGCCACATTGAAGGCGCCGTAAAGCCGGACAGGGAAAACGCAACGTGTGAAGTCATCTTCGGGATTTGGGCAAGCACGACACGCGCACACGCGGACAGCCGAAACCGGCGCGTTTCCTGAGCTCTTTGCCCCTGCTCTTGTAAGGATTGTTTGACGTTTGACTTTCTATTGATTTGGAGTCACTTATAACTGCTGTTAAATTTCTCAGCATCCGATTACACTTGCATTCACATGTCGATCCCCCTGAGGAATAGTTGGAATAATGTTTTTTCTTGAAAAAAACAAATTTGTTTTAGTAGTAGTTATGCTCTTAGATGAAATCACACGGACTTAATGGGTTTATGCAGTTCGTTATAAACTAAAACATTAATTATTAGAGAGATCCCGTCAAAAATAGCAAAATGAAACTCCTATAGTAATAATTTATTATAGAAAATAGTACTACACCATTTAGTTTAGTTAATACTAAATATAAGTTGTTGTTTTTTATTTCAAAATTTCCTTTATTCTTGTGTAGTATTTGAGTAACCTGCGTCCGTGTGGTCGTCCGTTCTTCCGTTACTCAAGGTTAGACTCCTTCCCTCCACCAATTGAGACAAATGAGGTTATTCTAAATTTCTCCAAAAACCTGTGCATTTGCGTTTTAGGCTAAAAAGTGTTTTAAGCGACTTACGGCACCTACAGAGATTATCATTAGCTCATTTCATTCCTGTGAATGGTGCAAATGCGTAGACATTGTTTTTAGGCAAACATTTTTTAGTACTTTCTGAAGAAAATAGAAAAACATGTTCCTTGGTGTTTCAAGACATCTGCAGCGGTGAAACTGTAAATTAATGCAATTAATGACTTTCTGGCACAACGTGAATCCTTATGTCATGATTATACGATTGGCAGTATTTGGAATCCCTAATTGCGACTCCTGGACGGAATTTCAAACACTGAAATCTGAGAAGAAATAATGACATAGATCAAAAGGCACCTAATTAAGTGAGCGTTGAGTTTTAGGACAAGCGAGTCTAAGTATATGGAAGACAAACACTTAGCACACAACATAATAAAGGATGCAGTAGGTCCGCCGGTTGCGATGCCGTCGTGGAGCGTACAAAAGCGGTCGAGAGGCCGAGGACATAGCCCAAGCCCGCAAGAGCGGTTGGCGGCAGCTAAGGTCCCGCAGAAAGTTCGTAGCCTTGCAGGGGTGATGTCCGCGGTCCAGGCGAAAAAAGCCGTTGCTATGTGCACTGCGAGGCCGAAAGGAACCAAAACACCAGGGTCACTGTGTCCGAATACTAACTTCAGTGGCTTCTACAGTGCTCCAGGAAAGTATTTCCGCACAAAGTCGAATCAGAGCCTCATATTTAAAATTGCATTTATGTTGAGAGCAACCAAATCATTGAGAAACAAGGGAAGGGAACAACGCTTCCAGCATCAGCTGTGGTTGTGTTGAGTACGCAATTTACTTTCTCTTTTGTTACAAGCTATAGCTCGTGCTACAAATATAATTTCTGATGCTAGTACTCTCACCAGTAAGGTGTCACTACGGAGAGACTCTCCTGGCGCACTACACTCTTCATAGGCTACTTGCCACTCGCTGCTCGCCACTCGCCCCTTGCCCCACATTGCGGACCGGTGAAGGGCCAGCCAGCCGATTTGCTTGAAGGCAGCAACCAGGCACCGCGTAATTTCAGTGACCTGGAAGTGGCTGCCGTAAATTCTGGCCCGTGTGGTTCAAATGTTCGGCACGAACACGCCAGTCAGGAAGCGTATATTGTGACTTTCTCGCCCTTACTTCGTAAGAAGTAAAAGTATTGTAATGGCGCACTCTAAAACGAAACTTTTCGACAGAAAAACTCTTATTGCCGAGCCCTGCTAACGAAAAACCTGATAAATCTTATTCCTCCTATAGCAAATTAGCCGTACTCAAAACTTTGTTTGCATGAAGTCTTAAATATATTTTGGGAGGTTAATTTAAAAAGTGCAAATAAAATATGAAAAATTTAATTATTTGACAATTTCTTTTAATAATATTACAATGAAATACAGTAAAGCTTCTGTATACACTATGTTTTTGATTTTACATTCAGAATCAGGGGCCAATAATTTTGTGAAATCATTCTCTCGAGAGCATGCTACATCTATATCCGAATACTATTGCTAAAACAACGTTTACATAAATCTACGTCCACTTTTAAAAGGTCTTCCCTTGTGCTTTATTGTCACTGAAAAACAATTTGTCGATAAACTGAAGTTTCTTGAAGCGGGCAGTTAATGGATAGTTTCGGAATTCTTTGTATGAAAAATGTTTCTCATTTTGTTCAGCTAGTAAGAATAGCAGATTCACTTAATATATTTCGTTGTAATGAAGTGAGTCTCTGACGGATTATATTACAATATTTTGATAAATTTACATTTGTGAGTGATATGAAAGGCACACGTATACGAAAGGCATTTTCGCTGTACCTTAGGATGAGTCCCACTTACACTAATGATGTTTAAAATTTCTACTGGATAGTGAACTGCCTCTTCTTGCTTACCCATTGTATCAATATTTAACCATTGTTTATTGTGACTTATACATATTATGTCTCCGATAATTTTTTAAGGGTTTTGTTATTAACGTCATTTATTGAATCATTTTTCGACCCAAAAATTGACCTCTTGCACAACTAAGAAAACTCTTTTGTTCTAATGTATATCTGAGTATATAGTTTTGTTCTTCCATAACTTCGCGAAGAGTCGACGGTAACATAATTACCCTAATATCAACCAGTATGTTTAATTTTCCCCTCTCCCACATCAAAAACTAGTGATGCTACCAAAAGGCACAGACTTCCTCGTACAAGTTTTATAATTTCTTTGGTCTGAACTACCTTTTCGGTTTTGCTCCACCCTCTTCCCAGCTATCATCTGGTGCCAAACAAATTACATCTTTTTCACATTTTTTAAAATTCTTTGGATCCTTAATAGCAAAACTGAAACTCAAAGAGTATGGTAGAACATGGATTGGATTCCCTTTAATCTTTTCAAGCCCTGCGTTTTCCGCTGTCCGAGTAAGTTTTGCACCCGCAAAACATACCGAGCAGGGACACGCGTTTCGTTCGTTTTGTTTAACTTCCTTCGATTTTATCTACCCCGATTGGGCGACTGGGTTGGTTAGAGCTCAGATTAACGTGGAGAGGTGTCTCAGAGCATCAACTGATGTAACCTCAGTGCCTCTGACCGGGAGGTCCTAAGTTTCAGCCTCGATGGTGGCAGTATTTTCGACACTAGCTAGATAGCTAGGTCGAGTTCTGTCGCTGTCTAGAGGAGAATTCTAGCGCCCGCCTGCTCTGGTCGGTGGTTTTCCGCAGATTTTCCGCGGTCTCTGTAGTTTTCTTTTGACCTCCTTTGGCTGCAGTCTTATTGAACGTAATGCAGCCAAAGTAAATAATAAACGAATGTGCTTTATTCACAACTGTGCTCAATAAAAATGCAATAATCATTCAAGTAATTAACTTAGAATATTATGTTTTACAATGTTTTATGCTTCAGTATGTGCTTGTACAATATTTTAAACTTGCTTGTCTTAGGGTATTCCATGGTCTTACTTAGTCCGTGATCCAGAAACAAATCAAGTAAAGAAGGATGACAGTGGAAATCCGATTTGGGAGGGATATTGTATTGACTTGTTAAAAAAATTAGCCGAAAAGAATTACATGGATTTTGATTATGAAATAGTGGCACCTGAAAACGGATCTTTTGGAAACAGAAGACCTGATGGCACTTGGGATGGTTTAGTAGGAGATCTGGCTATGGGTGTAAGTAATTTAGAAATCTACCCAATAGTGCTTGCTAGTGCTTAATTATATAAATCAATATTTCCTTCATTTAAAGCCATGTATTTTATATTTTGCATGCTCGAGTACGGGTGCATGGGGGTGCAACGGTGGGCAAGTGTGTGTGTGCGTGTGCGCGTGCGCGTGCGTGCCTGTGTGCGTGCGCGTGTGCGTGCGCGTGTGCGTGCGCGTGCGCGTGCGCGTGCGCGTGCGCGTGTGCGTGCGCGTGTGCGCGTGTGCGCGTGTGCGTGTGTGTGCTCGCATTTGTCTTTGAGCGTGTGTGTGCGCACATCTCAGGTGTGTGCCAGCATGTACATGGTGTCTAAGTTTTCATAACCCTGAAATTGATTTGCAACATTGATAAAAAATTCTTTAAAAATTACTGTAAATAAATTGTATTAATAAGTTTACAAGAAATTATATTTGGGCATGTAAATTGTCTGTATGTTAATTTAATTGTAAAAATGTCAATTCTCATTTGAGGAATATATACAGGTCATAAAAGTGTATCACCAATTTCTTGAGCATTGCATATTACAGTTTCTTAAACACTTTCTTTGATATATACTTTGATTGTTTCTTGTGTATTGTTTCTGATTCATAGTATTTCTATTTTATAGGAAACAGATATGATTATTGCTCCTCTGACAATGACTTCTGAGAGAGAAGAAGTGATTGATTTTGTTGCCCCTTACTTTGATCAATCAGGAATATCAATTGGTAAGTAGAAAAAATAATTACAATAGGGGAACTATTAGCTGAGACTATTTTCTGAGATCTCAGTCAGTTTGTAGAAAAGTGAAAAATCCTTAGGACCACGATTTGGTCTTTGACTGCAGCTACGCTTAAAACATAATTCTGGTTGCTAGCAGGATATTTATTTTATGTTATTGAATCCGGTGATGCAATTTTAATTATTCAGTAGTAGGGCACGGATAATTATGTTATAATACATTTTCCTAACATCATTATGTTATAACATATTTTCCTAACATTCCTAACATCTGTCAAGTTGATATCTTCACATTTCATAACGGTTAATGCCAAAAACCGTTGACATTTTAGTACATATTTTTACATATTTTACCCAAACGAACATATTTTTACATATTGCTGAATTTTTCCATCTTTTCTGCAATTTTTTAATTAATTCTTCGTTTTTCCTGTCTGTTTTTGATAAACAATTTAGCTTTGTCAAATATTATTTTCTGTAGCCTCCTCTCTAAAATGCCGCTATTGCATCGACTTAGAATGAGTCTGTTCGTATATATAGACGTTATTTGCAGATAAAAGGGTAAATCGATGACGCATCCCTAGTTCTGGCGTGTTGGTTTTCTGCGCGAGTATCGCAGAGAACACAAAGGAAATTAGGTTTGTGAAAATGATACGTTTAGTAGGTGATATCGCGAACCGACTTTGCATCTCTCAGGGGTCTCCCTTGACCTTGATACCCTTCACTAGAAGCTATTCGCCACCCCAGGAAGCGCCGTTGACCTTTTTTCTTTCTCCGTTTGTCGCACGCGAACCTCCGCCGTTGTTTGTAAATTATCTCTTTGGGCCGAAAATCTGAAGGAAAATCGCGATGTGTCACTGAGGTTTTTGGATTAAACCTTACGGGGCAGTGGTAACTCTCGAGTGAGAATTTATCAAGGTAGATATTTATTTTCGAACTCCATGTTGGCGATTTGAAAACGCGACGTGTTTACATAGAAAGGTTTCCGTCCGTACATAAAAAAAAAGTCTCTAATATTTTTGAAAAAACTGACAAGAGGTAATATATTTAATATAGGCCGATGATTAATATAGGCCTATAATTTTGAATTTTATTTTTGTTGC